GGGTTAAAACAGAAAGGACTGCAAAGTGAACACACAGGATTTAGGAAGGGCAAGGAACATAAGCACAAGGAACATAAGCACATAAGTAAACAGTACTTACATAAAAGTAAGGAACCATTTGCTACACTGATGGCTGTAGAAAAAATGAATAATAGGGAAATAATGTGCCATACATTGCAAATGTATGGAATAGATAGTAGGTTACTAAAACTGGTAAAGAATGTTCTTGACGAAATTGAGGTTTAAGTTAGGGTACATAGGAGAGATTAAGATTCTTTGTATAGAAGTGAAAAAACAGATGTGTGTTGTCACCATGGTTGTTTAATATATTTATGGATGGGGTTGCAAGAGAAGTGAATTTTAGGGTGCTGGGGAGTGGTATGAAACTAAAAAAAAAAATTTTAACACATCGGCAGTTTTCTCTGAGGCAGGGTGACCCGAAAAAGGGGAAAACACTTTCATCATCACTCACTCCATCACTGTCTTTCCAGAGGTGTGGCAATACCACAGTTCAATAACAAAACATGTCTCCACCCCTCCTTCAGGGTGCAGGAGAAATGTTGTGCCTGATAAAAAGTGGGAACTGTCAGAGTTGCTTATTTTGCCAATGGCATGGTTCTTCCAGGAGATTCTGAAGACAAGTTGCAAACGTTGGTAGATAAATTTGGGAGGATATGTTAAAAAAGGAAATAAAAAGTGAACACAGAAAAAGCAAGGTGATGAGGGTAACACAAAAAGTTTAGGCAATGATAGCTTCAGTACCAGACTGGAGGGGTACTGAGGAAGCAGAAGTAATTAGATATTTTTGAGTGAACTTGGGTCTTTGAATGATAAGATGACCCAGAGAACAGATGGTAGGGGGGGGAGGTGGGTGGTATGCGGAGGCATCAATGATCAGAAAAAAGTTTATCAATGGAATCAAAAAGGACAATGAGTATAGTGGTACCAATACTTTATACAGGTGTTAGCCATGGGTTGTGAATACTGCAGTGAGATTGAGAGTGGAGGAAGAGGAGATGTTGTTTGAGAGCAACATGTGGTGTGAACATCATGCAGAGAATTTAGAAAGCAGAAATTACAAGACCATGAGGAAACAGCAAGGGTTTATAAAATTCAGAGGGCTGAAGAGGGATGTTGAGGTGGTCTGAGTATGGAGGATGGAGAGAGACAGGATGATGAAGAGGGTATGTAAATCTGGAGTGGAAGGTGGAAGGGGTAGAGGTTTTCCTTACAATGGTTGCAGGGAGGGGAAAAAGAAGGCTTTTGAGTTTTAAGGGCTTGAGCATCCAGCAGGCATGCATGTGTGTGTTAGATAGGAGTGAATGGAGGAAACTGGTTTTTAATGGACAGGCTGTTGGAGACTGAGCAAGATACTACAGAATGGTCCCATTTATATGACATGGTAGGTTCCTGACCCCCACCAATAAGCGAAAATAGCCGAAAAGTGGAACATAACTTTTTTTTTTTCACTGTCGAATACACATAAATGCCTGATAACATGTTTATACGTACTATCACATATTAAGTGCTCAATACTACAAAACTGTACTTATCTACCACCACTACACTACACACTTAAGCCTAGGAAAAAATGATATGAAAGTAAAATGAATATACAGTACATACATTATTTACCTTAAAATATGGCACTGGACTCCCTTCCCTGATGCAACTGTTGTGTGCATCAGGCCAAAAACGGCAGAAAAGCAGAAAAATCATCGAACATAATGAACAATGGTCCAATTGAAAACAGCTGTAATTTCAGGATGTCAAAAAGTTGGGCCCTCCTATACAGTGTTATGCAAAGATTCAGGGTAAGCAGTTAGCTAGACCTGAGTCTCGGAGGGTGAGAAGGGTAATACTGCTACACACTAGGAGAGGTAGTGATCTTGCAGTAGGTGGGTAATCTAAAGTATGTCAGAATACTACTGAATGAATGACAGTGAGTGGTTTCCCTTTTTTTTGTGTGGGGGGGAGGCATAGGGGACTGGGAGGGCTGGGGGGGTAGGTCACCCTATCTTGGTAAAAGACTGCCAATAATGTAAAAAAAATAACAGAGGTAATTAACATATACACAGTACATTATTTAAAATGCACATAATTTTAAAAGGTGTTTAAAAATGCATACAACTGTAAACAGGATGTGGCATCCTGTTTACAGTTTTGAGACAAGTCTTCAGAGTAGTCAAGTGTTGGGGTTCCTACACCATCCATGTAACACATCATAACAATTCTCTTCCACCAAGAGGAGACAAGTGTATCTTCATACTAAGGTTAGATTAAACCCAGTTCTAGTAATGGGTGAAAGAAATCAAAGGTAGAGAATCGGTATATGAATTTGGACACTTGGAAGAAACTTGAGGAGTGGAGGGAGGAGATAAGATCAGTACTTTCCTATATTGCATCATATCATAAGCTTTATTTCTTTAAAACCTTTATGGATATTACAATGAATGGGTTAACAGGTTATGTGTACAGATCTGATACAGCTCTGTACATACAAGTTTTTCTATGTAGTAAGGAAAACTCCTTGTTATGCAAGCCAATATAGACAGACTAAAACTAATGCTTATGAACTGCTTAATACTAATACAGGTACACAAATAACCCACACATTGGAGAATGAAACACACGACAACATTTTAGTCCAACTTGGACCATTGACTAGTCAAATTCAGGCTGAAATGATGTTATTCATTCTTCCAAGAGTGGGTTATCTGTGTATTGTTCCAGTCACAGTATTGGGCCTTTTTATTCTTTACTAGAACAGGTATTTAAATATGTGTAATATAAGCTTTATGTGACAAAGCTTACATATTTTCTATACATAACAAGATGTTTTACATACATACATACACACACACACACACACACACACACACACACACACACACACACACACACACACACACACACACACAAAAGATAATTGGTAAACAGGCTATCACACCTGGGCATAAGCACCTCCTAGGATCATATTCTCTGGCTTTCAGCTTAGATAGGAAACAGTATTTGCCAGCAGTTTCTCAGAGAGCAAGTGGTCTGTCTTTCCAATATGCATGGAAAAGTCTTCATAACTGCCACTGTGGATAACAGACAACAATCCCAGTGCAACACCAAGAAATGTGTCCTTTCATGGTACTGCTATCTCCCTATTTCACCATTCCTCTTTTCCTGATAAGGATGTCAATCAAAGTAGGGGCTAATTTTGATGGTATCGGTATGAGCAAAAATTTGAATATCAGCAACAGCCAAAAATTTTTGTACTGTCTCATCACTAGATTGGAGAATTATTATTAAAGCTGAAGGAGCTGGGTAAGGAAGCTCTAAAATTGTGAGCCTTTTACCCTACTACTACACTGATGTACCATTTGTTACCAGAAGCATCAAGAAGTTGTTTGTCCTAGTTGCTAGTCACTTCTCTGACAAAAGACAACTTCAAACAACATATTGAAGACAACTGGTGACTGGACTATGTGAGGAAAGTTCTGACAGACAAAACCTCCAAGTTTATGCTGGTCCTAGAGTGCACTCACTCAGTGGCTACAGTCTGGCACTCAATGTCATAAAAAATTGCTGTAGACCATCTGCATACAGGAGAGACACCAATGATCAGTCTTGATCAGGCACTGTTAGCCTTGGTCAAGATTTTGTGGAAGTGGCCAGAGAGCTATGGTGAAAAGGTGGTAGTGATGTTTGGTGAGCTCCACATGAAGATGACAACACTGAAGGATTTGAGGAATTGTCTCTAAGACAGTATGTGGGTACAAGTACTTGTGCTAGCTAAGACTGCCACACTATGACAGAAACTGTCTGAAAAACTGACCATGATGAAGATATGACAAAATTTAAAGACTACTGCATCAGAGAGGAGAAACAATTCCCTAGTTTCAGTACTGGGTTACAGTGCTGGAAGTAGAAATGCTTTTGGTCAATGTACGTTCTCTTTTCGGTGTCCCATTATTTTAATGGTGTTCAAATGAGCTATTGTTCATTATGTTCAGTGCTTTTTTCACTCTTATGCCATTTTTGCACAACAGTTGCATAAGGTTAGGTAATCTGTTCACCAAGCAGCAAATAGGTACCTGGGTGTTAGTTGACTGGTGTGGGTTGCATCTTGAGGGACAAGATTGAGGATCTCAATGGAAAAAGACAGTCCTTAATGATGCACTGCCTTTCTTGGGTTATCCTGGGTGGCTAACCTTCTGGGGTTAAAAATCCGAATGAAATCTTATCTTAAAGGTGACTGGTGCCATATATTAAGGTAAGTTTTCTTTGTACTGTGTACAGTGCACCCCCGAGTTTCGTGATTAATCCATTCCAGAGAGGCTGCCGAAAGTCGAAAGTGCCGAATGGCGAAACCATTTTCCCCATAAAGATTTACATAATGAAAACAATGAGAAATCAAGTACATGCATATAAAATATAATAATAACATTACACTTACCTTTACTGAAGACTTCTGGGTGGATGGAAGATGGGAGGAGGGGATAGGAGGAAGGTGTACACTATTGTTTGGAAGGAGAATCTCCTTCCATTAGGACTTCAGGTATGAAGTCCTTATCTGGGGTTACTTCCCTTCTTTGTTTTTTAAAGACACTGGCACTGGGAACAACTTGAGAGTCACTGGAACCCTGTTGCACAAAATATCTGTCCAGAGAGCTCTGTTTCTGGCGTTTCTTAAAGATTTGTCTGAAGTGGGACACAACACTGTCATTGTACATGTTGCCAATACAGCCTGCAACAGCTTTGTTAGGGTGAAGTTCATCCATAAATGTTTGCACTTCAGTCCACTTTGTACAAATGTCCTTAATCTTTGAAGAAGGCACCTTCCTCCATCTTTCTTCCTCCTCCTCCTCTGGAGCAGTTTCCTGAGCTGTGATCTCTTGCTGTTGCAGATGAAGCTCTTGCAGCTCTTCAGTGGTTAGCTCTTCCCTGTGGTCCTCCACCAACTCTTCCACATCCTTACCATTCACCTCCAACCCCAGGGACATCCCCAATGCCACAATAGGTTCCATAACGATCGAAGTGATGGTTGAATGGGGTTTGCCAGACATCCTGGCAAGCTCTGTAACACGCACTCCACTCTCATATTTTTTCAATGATTTCCTTCTTGAATTCGATTGTATTCCTCACTTTCTTTACCAAAGGGCTTGCACTAGCTCTCCTTGGGCCCATGGTGACTTATTTAGCAGTTACAATCACAAAAAACAATGGATTATTACGTATGAACCCGCGGGGTGATGGTCACGTGTTGGTAAACAATGGCACACTGAGCTTGAATGGCGTGGGAGACTGGCTTTGTGCGCGCGGTGACAGGCAGACGGGTACTGGACGGTTGCCGAATCACGAGTCTAATCACGAACTGCGAGGGCCCAAAAATTTGCCGAAAAAACTTGCCGAAAGTCGGATTTCACAAAAGTCGATGCTGCCGAAACCCGATGGTCCACTGTATTTAATTTACTTTTTTGTTTTTTTTTTATGCATAGCTGTATTGAGAACCTAATATATGATAGTGTAAACATGTTATCAGGCAATTTCCGCCTATCAGCGGGGTTCGGGACCACAACAGCCATAAAAACAGGGCCTTCCTGTACCTTGAAGCCCTGGCAGAAGACATGTTCCCTGTTTCTTGACAAGACCACACTATTTATAACAGATGAATCCCTGTTTACCTCAAGAATATGGCTGAACTTGCAACCTGGCACCTAAATGTAGCCAGGGAATTCGAGGCAGGAAGTGCTATAGTACAGAAGACTAAAGGTGGTATATATTCTCTTCAATTCCAGTCAACCAGACACATGAACAAAATAATGTCAGCATAAAAGATGATGAAATAGTTGGCCTCACTGACTATCCCGGTGCATTAGCACAGGTACTGGTCCAGCACCTGAACTGCCTCTCCCAACCAGCTGGAACTGGACCAAGAATGATGAGAGGTTGTATGAGCCATATTAAATGAGGTTATCAGAGGCAGCACACACCCACTATAAGATTGTGTCATGAAAATGCAAGGTCTGTGTATAATATTGTAAATGCAACAACAGGCTGGGCTTAAATGAACACCTGTGTGTATCTGTGAAGGAAAGTGATCACAAAATTAACTTCCTGGCTATGGAACTATGATCAGAATTTTTTTTAATGTAGTCACAACGGGGACTACTGTACAGGTACAACATCGATTTACCGGTAAAGGATGGTTCGGCACCTCTTTTAGTCCGGACAAAGTTACAAGACTACTTTTTTGGCCAGACTAGTTTACTGGATGGCCACAGATGGCATTGTATGTAGTGCTTTCTCACTTATATTGTTTACACAATAAGAAGCATGACTGCCTGGGGCTCAGCAGACGGAGGATCAAGCCTCCACCACGTCTTGTGCTGAATGACCACATGGGTTTAGCGCTTAAAATGAATTAAACAAACACAGCAACTGTTTGTGGTGATCCCTTGATTTTGTGCAATTCTTAGCATATTTTGCTAACAATTAACTTGTCAACAGCTATGGTATTTAACAAGTTAACCGAGTTGTCAGGTGAATTAAAGGAAAAGAACAAGGTTTCTATGCGACAGAACAAGAGATAATGAATTTTTATTTGATGCATGAAAAATTAGACAGGGAAAGATCAAGGCACATAAAACAATTTTGACTGAATGTGTTTCACAGCAGTAGGTTTATAAAGAATGTCTGACAGCGGTAGGTTTATAATGTGTCTCACAGCAGTAGGTTTATAAGTATTGTGTCTCACAGCAGTAGGTTTAAAAAGAATGTGTCTCACAGCAGCAGGTTTATAAAGAATGTGTCTCACAGCAGTTAGTTTATAAAGAACAAAAAGGTACAAAACCATGACTGGAACAATATATAAATAACCTGCACATAGGAGAAAAAACTTATGATGACATTTTGGTGACTATGTAGTTACTAGTCCAAGTTGGACCGAAACATCATCCTAAGTTTCTTTCTGCTATGTGTGGGTTATTTGTGTACAGTAGGCCTATATTTGAAAATCCTATGGCTTCAAGTTCAGATACCCCAGATCCATGATAAAACAGTCAACTATGAAACAGAGAGAAATTCAGACAACTTTCAACTACCAGGTCTCTAAAAAAACCATACCATGGGCGGGATTGAACCCGCGGTCAGAGAGTCTCAAAACTCCAGACCGTCGCGTTAGCCACTGGTCCAGTGGCTAACGTGACGGTCTGGGGTTTTGAGACTCTCTGACCACGGGTTCAATCCCGCCCGTGGTATGGTTTGTTTGCAATCGTGTCATTACGATTTCGTGAGTCATACCAGGCCTCTGTTATTATCTCAACATTTCCAGCAAAATTAAAAAAATTACCACATTCTTTGTAAGTACAGTAATTAATAAACCTGTTTCATTTATACTAATGCTAAATATAAGTTTCCATCAGACTATGGTGGGTCAGAGGTTTGTCGCTGAATTATTGTGTGACCTCGGTTGGGCTGGCAAAATTGATATATGTACTGTAGTAGCAAGCCTAGGACCAAAGGTGCCAGAAAGTGTTGTAGTACCTGTACTATGTTAAATTACTGAAAAAAGCACTATATCTGACGAAGTGATTGTACCATGTGATAAATATTTGGACCACATAATAAATATATGGGAGTAGGAAAAAAGAATGGGAAAACCAGAAGTAAATGAGGATGAGTAATGAAAGTCAGCAAGAAGATTAGTATCTTGTGATCATGAATCACACTACCCCTTTGAGGGTCGGCAGGCCCTCTCCTAGACTTGTTCTCAGGGTCGGAAATTTTTCGAAAAAAAAAAAAAAAATTCTTCTGAAAGAACAGAGAATCTTTTCCCGATCATAATGACACCGAAAGTATGAAATTTGATGGAAAACTTATGGAAGTATGCTCTTGCAAAGTTAGTGGTCTCGACGATGTTTACGCATCGGCGATTTCGCTCACTTTGAGCCATATTTTCAGCCAATTCCAATGTACCAGTCGACAAAAATCTTAACTATTTCGCTAGAACTCCATTTTTTCTATCTAATGGGTACAAGAAACCATCCATTTACCTATTTCAACTAACCAATAAAGTGGTCCAAAACTGGCAATTTTGCCAATTTCACACAAATTTCAAAAGATGTCAATTTCCAAATAGGGTCCAGAATAAACAAGGCAGACATTCCTGGCACTAAAATAACATTTCCTCTGTTCCTTACTCACTCCCCAGGCCTCTTGTAACATTTCTTTTGCTTTCCACTTTGAATTTTTATTCTCACAAAAAATAGAAAATTTACTGTTATGCATGCTACTGCATTAGTGTAGAAATGGTATAAATAATATCAATGCACTTGTGAAAGAATATTAGACTCACCAGTTGACGTGTATTGGATGCATGTCTTGATTTATTTACTTTTGAACTTTAGCAAAAATCGAACATTTCTGCTACTTTGAGCTCAATTTCAAGGTACTTTTCATTGTGAAACCAATAAAAATCATCTCAATTTCCGTAATGTGTCTTCCATTCTATAAAATGAGACCAGGAAAACTAGAATACAACCATAAATAGCACAAAAAAAAAAAAAAAAAAAAAAAAAAAAAAAAAAAAAAAAAATTACACTGCAAAGTCGCTGTTTTAAACCAAAAACATGGTCAGTTGTTTTTTTTCTCATTATGCACTGTGTGCTGCAGGATTTTTTTTATACTGTGCACACTGACCACATAGACCCATTCTTTCATATGTAGGCCTACCAGCTTTCTCTCGCTACATTTGAAGGCACTAGAATTTATGCGTACTAGTCACAGACCGGGCCGCGGGGGCGTTGGCCCCCAGAACTCTCTCCAGGTAAACTTCAGGTACGGTACCAACCCTGGCATGCAAGCCGTACCAGTATGGCACCAACCCTGGCGTGCAAGCCATACCAGTATGGCACCAACCCTAGCGTGCAAGCCGTACCAGTATGGCACCAACCCTGGCATGCAAGCCGTACCAGTATGGCACCAACCTTGGCGTGCAAGCCGTACCAGTATGGCACCAACCCTGAAAGGGTTAAGGGTAGGAGGAACTTCTTAACATCAGACTTAAAGTTAATGACAGAAATGGAGCCTTTTGAATCTTAAGGCAGAGAGTTCCAAATTTTGGCTCCTTCACATGTACTGAGGTTTTACTCAGGGTGAGTCATTCATGGGAAATATAAAAAGGGTATCTGTATCTCGTATGGCTTATTCTAAAAATGAATGGCTTCAATAAGAACAAAAAGGCACAATACCATGACTGGAACAATACACAAATAACTTGTACATAGGAGAGAGAAGCTTATGACAACATTGCAGTCCAACTTAAGCCATTTACAAAGTCACACTGTCGTCATAGGCTTCTCTCTCCTATGTGTGGGTTATTTGTGTATGGCTTCATTTTTTCTTAACAGTCCAGTTAATGCAATAATTCTTATAAATGACTTCACATAGTCTTTACAAAGATTCTGATATCAAGTACCCCAGGTTAAATCTACTGTGGTACTCTGAAGGTCTCGGTTCTGAAAACTGGTTGAATGTAATGGATGCCATTTTGGAAAATGACCACAACAGTCATTCTGAACTATTTTTTCAGAAACTGCTGAATGAATCTGATTATTATATATTGGAAGTACAATGCCTGCACTCTACAGGAGGGGTTTGTGATATCTGCTGTTTGGAGGAACATCTGAAATGTCGTGTCTGGGTGCCTCTGGCAGCCAGCAACAGGGCGAATAACAGTGAAAGCGTTTCTTGTTCGGGTCACCCCTGCCTCAGTGGGAGATGGCCAGCATGTTTAAAAAAAAAAAAGATATACAACTGTGCCAAATTTGGTGTTATCAGAAAATGCACAATATATTATCCTGCTGTATTCTAAGTTTTAAATACAAAAAATAGATTACCAGCACACCACTGAAATGCATTAGGCAAGGTTGTCTTATGAGTCAGGGTTAGCCATTATTTAATACCATGCAAGGAAGCATTCAATAATAAAAAAAATCAGTAACCACTAACTTTTTTTCAATTTAATCATGTAAATACCGTATTTCCCCAGACAGGAGAGTGCCTTGGAAGTTATCATGCTAGCTGAATGTGTGGTGCTTGTGGCATGCAGCATCAGTGCCACACTCAGTGTATACAGTGCTCCTAAGTGCCCAGTACAGTGTGTGTGTGAACACCCAAGGATCAAGTGTGAAGGGGGAATAATACCTTCACTAGACACAAGACTTACTTCCCTTCAGATATATGATGCATCTCCTGCCATCACCAGCCTCACATCTGATATAACAAAAAAACTGCACCACCTTGTATGACCACCACTCTTTACCATGCAAAATATCTTCTTAAGACAATTGAATTACCTCACTGGTTAATGTTAAACAAAAATAATACAGTAGTTTGACCAATATCTTTGAAATTCTTCACCGTATATACAAAATAGGAAGTTATAAATTTTCAAAAGTTTGTAGATTTTTTACCAGCTGCCAAAGTTTAAGGAGAGTATAATTATGCTTAGTTTCAACTAGGTCTTGTGAATTTATTTTATATTTTTATAAAACAGGAAGACCTGCAGCTACATGGTGTGGGGCTGAGAGAGATAAAAGCTGGAGCACTCCAAGTAATTACCAACCTTCACAGCCTGAAGATCACCAATAATAACATCTCCAAAATTGGTGCAGCAACTTTTATAAATTGTAGCAGAATGACTTATCTTAACCTTGAAAATAATAATATTTCTGTGAGTATAATACATTGTGATCATCCCTCGCCTAATTAATAAAAGTTAACTAAGTCGAATTTCGGTTAACAAACAAGAAAAAAACTTGGGACCCTTCCTCCATTTAATGACCAGCCGCATCTAATTCAACAACAAAATTCACTGGATATGAATTTTTCAGCTATGTCATGTATGCTGTACCTTCCCACCTCCCCCCATCCCTTCAGTAGAAATAAGTGTAGCTTCAGATGCAACACTGGCAGTTGCAGTATCTACACCAGCATTATCAGCAATAATGAAGCGAGAGCTAATGCTCTCGCTTCACACGGCAAGGGTATGGGTTCGTTTCCCAGCCAGAGTAGAAATATTGGTGGCCCGGTGGCCTGGTGGCTAAAGCTCCCGCTTCACACATGGAGGGCCCGGGTTCGATTCCCGGCGAGTGGAAACATTTCGACACGTTTCCTTACACCTGTTGTCCTGTTCACCTAGCAGCAAATAGGTACCTGGGTGTTAGTCGACTGGTGTGGGTCGCATCCTGGGGGACAAGATTAAGGACCCCAATGGAAATAAGTTAGACAGTCCTCGATGACGCACTGACTTTCTTGGGTTATCCTGGGTGGCTAACCCTCCGGGGTTAAAAATCCGAACGAAATCTTATCTTATCTCTTATCTATCTTTCACCCTTACCCAGGGTTAAGTTCCATACCTTCTACCCAAACCCAGAACCCTCAGTATACAGTATAAGATACCAACACAAAATATCATGCATCATACACTTGGATATCATGATGACAATGCAACATTGGTGCTATTATTTAATAAATGTATGGAAGAGAGTAAGGTACCTAGGGATTGGCAGAGAGCATGCATAGTTCCTTTGTATAAAGGCAAAGGGGACAAAAGAGAGTGCAGAAATTATAGGGGGATAAGTCTGTTGAGTATACCTGGTAAAGTGTATGGTAGAGTCATTATTGAAAGAATTAAGAGTAAGACGGAGAGTAGGACAGCAGATGAACAAGGCGGCTTTAGGAAAGGTAGGGGGTGTGTAGACCAGTGTTTACAGTGAAACATATAGTTGAACAGTATTTAGATAAGTCTAAAGAGGTTTTTCTGGTATTTATGGATTTGGAAAAGGTGTATGACAGGGTGGATAGGGGGGCAATGTGGCAGTTGTTGCAGGTGTATGGTATAGGAGGTAGGTTACTGAAAGCAGCTAAAAGTTTTTATGAGGATAGTGAGGCGCAGGTTAGAGTATGTAGGAAAGAGGGAGATTATTTCCCAGTAAAAGTAGACCTTAGACAAGGATGTGTTATGTCACCGTGATTGTTCAATATATTTATAGATGGGGTTGCAAGAGAAGTGAATGCGAGTGTCTTGGCAAAAGGTGTGGAGTTAAAAGAAAAAGAATCAAACACAAAGTGGGAGTTGTCAGAGTTGCTTTTTGCTGATGACACTGTGCTCTTTGGAGATTCTGAAGAGAAGTTGCAGAGGTTGGTGGATGAATCTGGTAGGGTATGTATCAGAAGAAAATTAAAAGTGAATATAGGAAAAAGTAAGATTATGAGGATAACAAAAAGATTAGGTAATGAAAGATTGGACATCAGATTGGAGGGAGAGAGTATGGAGGAGGTGAATGTATTTAGATATTTGGGAGTGGACGTGTCAGCGGATGGGTCTATGAAAGATGAGGTGAATCATAGATTTGATGAGGGGAAAAGGGTGAGTGGTGCACTTAGGAGTCTGTGGAGACAAAGAACTTTGTCCTTGGAAGCCTTTTTTTTGTTATTTAAACAAAGAAAGGAATGTATGAGAGTACAGTTTTACCAATGCTCTTATGTGGGTATGAAGCATGGGTGATGAATGTTGCAGCAAGGAGAAGGCTGGAGGTTGTGGAGATGTCATGTCTGAGGGCAATGTGTGGTGTGAATATAATGCAGAGAATTCGTAGTTTGGAAGTTAGGAGGAGGTGCGGGATTGCCAAAACTGTTGTCCAGAGGGCTGAGGAAGGGTTGTTGAGGTGGTTCGGACATGTAGAGAGAATGGAACGAAACAGAATGACTTCAAGAGTGTATAAATCTGTATTGGAAGGAAGGCGGGGTAGGGGTCGGCCTAGGAAGGGTTGGAGGAAGGGGGTAAAGGAGGTATGAGTGAGCATATTTGATAGGAGTGAATGGAGACAATTGGTTTTTAATACTTGATGTGCTGTTGGAGTGTGAGCTAAGTAACATTTATGAAGGAATTCAGGGAAACCGTCAGGCCGGACTTGAGTCCTGGAGATGGGAAGCACAGTGTCTGCACTCTGAAGGAGGGGTGTTAATGTTGCAGTTTAATAAACTGCAGTGTAAAACACTCCGCTGGCAAGACAGTGATGGAGTGAATAATGAAAGTTTTTCTTTTTCAGGCCACCCTGCCTTGGTGGGAATTGGCTGATGTGTTAATAAAAAAAAAAATAATGCAACATTTTAGTTTCAAAACTCAAATCATTTTTAAAAAGAATGTTTGGCACTGAAATATTTATATTTAATGAAATCTGAACACTTACACAAAAAATAACTTCATCAAACCCCTTATATATGCCATCCCTTCAGTAATACAACAGCCTCCAATAGTCTTCTTACTGGTAGGTGTTAAGCAACACTAAACTTTATTTCAGGATTATATAGATACTACTATATTAACTTACCAGGATTCATACTTTCTAGCAATTACAATACTGTATATTCTGTACCTATGTGCTTTTGCTGCAGTTTCATCTATGTTCATACGTTTATTTACACTGGGCATTTTGTTGGAAAAAGTATATTATGTACCAAATTTGTATCGGCTAAAATTATTATCATATGCTCTTTGGCTGAAGACACAGGATGTGTGTTAATAAGGAGGTAGTCTCAGAGTGGTACAGTACTTTGTGATACTGATGTTATTGTATAGAGGTAATCCAGACAAGTGACACTGATACATGACTCAAGAAATCGTAGCCCGTCGCGTTAGCCACTAGACCAGCTAGCCACAATAAGATTCATCCAACTAGGTATATTTCTACACCAGAAATATACCTAGTTGGATGAATCTTATTGTGGCTAGCTGGTCTAGTGGCTAACGCGATGGGCTGGAGTTTTGAGACTCTATGACCGCGGGTTCAATCCCGGCCGGGGGTATGGTTTACACTGATACATATAATGATATTTATATATCTTGATGCTTTGTATATGAAACTTAAATGAAAGAGGTATATGGCCCTTTCCCTCATCTTTCCATGTTAACTTGCATTAGGAAGTTCAGTAAATTGTCAGCTATCCAGCACCAAATTTTGAAAATTGCCAGATGTTGCATAATTTTTTTTTAGGTTACCTATTTTTGCATATCCTTTAAACCCTTTTGGCATATGTCTTTACATACAGTTCTAAAGGCATTCAAATTTATTTGCATAAGAAAGGGTGCATAAAATTCAATGAACACATTTTAAACTAAATCCCTGAGCAAGTTTTCAAGTTAAGAGTTGAGTGCAAAGCAAAAAGAAACAGGAAATCATAAAAAAATAAAAAAAACATGAACATGCCACACATGCATGTAAATAATATATACAAAAAGTGAATGCGCTTGACAAACTAGAAAAAAAAAATTTCGATGCAAACCCAGCCTATAAAACGAAAATTTGCTTATTTGTTTTAGAATCTTTCAGATTCATTTTAATGAGATGAACCAAAAGAAAATGTTTTGGAAGTGAGACACAGTAGAAGTTAGTTTAATATGTTTATTATGCACCCCATACCCATCCTCACAGTAAAACGAGACAAGTTTCAGAAAATTCCAGTTGGTGGTTTTTACTTTCCCTTCTGCTTTTCTGGTCATCTCTTTAAATATATTTACAGTAATGGTATAGAGTACCAAAGTTGATGAATAAGATTACCTCAAACTCCTCCTCTCCTTACGCCTTTCTACTTTGTATTGGACTGATGAAGCCACTGTGTGGCGAAACGTTTCCTGAATAAAGATTCCTATATGTTGCATAAGTGTCTCAATCGTCAACTTGGGTATCAAACCATGGAACGGGTGAGGTTTGAACCCATGATGAGTGAGTGGTAAAACTCCAGGCCGGTATGTAAGCCACTTGGGTATCGTTACTGACGAGACATTTCACTTTCAGCAAGCTTTCTCAATCTAATAGAGACGCAGCTTTTGCTATGGAGACAGTGGGAGAGGTTGAAAACTAAACTGTATCTTCAATTGCTAACCTATTGTATATTTAACCCCCACTGAAATCCACTGTAACCTACAGTGAAGAGTACACCACCTTATGTACATAGATGATGTGTCACATGTCAGTACTAGTTTCAAGTTGCTTTAAAAAATTAATTTTAGTTTGGTTAAAATATTTTGCCTACAAGGAGGTTTCCTTAATACATGCACCTGTTGTAATATTCATATATGTACTGAGTTTGGTTGTTCAGTTCTTTAGTCATGATCAAGGCTAAGAGGCTGAACACCAGTCAAGGCTGAGGGACTAAACACCATAAAATTGCTTCACTTAATCCATTGTCTCTGGTAAAAACAAGTTGACTCGGTAACACATTGAAAAATCTTGCTGTGCATTTGAAACAAGTCATTAACCCCTTCAGGGTCCAAGGCCCAAATCTGAAGTGGTGCCCCAGTGTCCAAGAATTTAAAAAAAAAAAAATTGTTATTTTTTCTTATGAAATGGTAGAGAATCTTTTTGTGAAGGTAATAAAACAAAAAGTACGAAATTTGATGGAAAATTGACGAAATTATGCTCTCGCGAATTTTGATGTGTCTGCGATATTTACGAATCGGCGATTTTTCCGACTTTGACTCCCATTTTAGGCCAATTACATTATTCCAGTCAACCAAATTCTTAGCTATTTCACTAGTATTACTTCTATTCTATCGATTGAGCACAAGAAATCGCCAAGTCAACTGTTTCAACTACAAATTAAAGTGATCGGAAATTGTTAATTTGGCCAATTTAACACAAAGTTCAAAATATTCCAATTTCAAAATAGGGTCCAGAATAAATAATGTAGGTATTCCTCAAACTAAACTAACATTTCCTCTGTTCATTAGTTACGTTTTGAGGCTTTACAAATAAATTCCATTTTGATTTTTTATTCACATAATGAATTTTTATTCACACCAAAAAATAGAAGATTTACTGTTATGCAATACTGTAATAATTGTATAAATATCATCACCATATTTGTGAATGCATATTAGACTCACCAGCTGGTGTGTATTAGACGTGTGAGGTCATTTGTTTACTCTTGAATATCGGCAAAAATTTAACATTTCTGCTACTTTGAGCTCAGTTTCAAGCCATTTCCAGTGCTAAAACCAATCAAAATCATCTCTATTTCTGTAATATGTCTTCCATTCTATCAAATGAGACCAAGAAATCGCAAATAGAACTATAAAAAACATACGAAAAAACACTGCAAAGTCGCTGTTTTAATCGAAAAATCATGATTTCAGTTTTTTTTCTCTCATTATACACAGCGTGCTGCAGGATCCGTTTTATGGGGTGCACACATACCACATAGATGTATTCTCTCATATCAAGGCCCAAATGTACCATTCACAGTTTATCAGAGTGAGCTGAGCTCATGACATAGATCTACGGTTTGGACACTGAATGTAAAGCTGTATATCTACGGGACGGACCCTCAAAGGGTTAATAAAGATACCAAGTGTTGCGCATATGTCTTGTTCATCCTTATACGCCATTCTGATTGTTAAAATTCATTTTGAAACAATGGTTTTACAGAAAGAAAACAGACTTGACTGTGGCAATCTAGTGAGAACATTTTAAACAAAATCCCATTCTTAGTTTTTAATTTAGGGGTCATATGCTAGGCAAAAATGAACTGGCAATCATAAAAAAAAAAGTTTTTATTTCACAATAGATTTGTATCAAAAATATAAACATACTGTGTGCATCAAAATAACATTTGAAAAAATGGATGCCTTTAATAAACACTAAAGACAAACTTCCTAAATAATGTCACTGTGAACTCAAATTCATTTTCATAAGACTGGTCATTATATGTGTTAGTGATGATTAGAGGCATGTGAGTTTTCCCTGTCTCCTAATATCATGTTTATTTTTTCCCCAATTATCTATCTTGTCTATAATTACTATCACATCTGCTTTGTCTGCTTTTGTAAGGTGAAGTCTAGGATCTTTCCTTAATTCAAGGTATAACTTAAAGCAAATGTGATAGTAATTATAGACAAGGTAGATTATAGGGGAAAAACAGTATATTATTAGAAAACATGGGAACTGACGTGCCCCTTAAGATACGTGCAACAGTTAGGAATCTTTATTGTGGAAATGTTTTACCTACATGGTTTGCTTTATCAGTCAAATGCAGAGGAAAATGAATGGTAAGCAGCATGAGTAGTGGCAAGGTAAAGATGATATAATCAGTCCATCAACCTTGGAGAAACAGTTTCAGGTAGTTAATGCAGGTTGAGGGACCGACCACCTCAAATTGGTCACTACTACTGCTGTCTTCAATACATTCTCCTGTGTATTTGACTGAAGAAGCCTACCACATAAGTGAAACATTTCAACAATAAAGATACTCAACTGCTACATGTGTCTTCATCATCAATCTGTCAGTATTTTATACTATTTTCACATAAGTGATTCAGTGAATGATGCCAAGATGATCAGCACCAATTTAATGCTATGTCACACATGAAAACAAACAAATCAAATTAAATGACACATAATTATTAAATTTCATATATTATTTTAACTTCCTTATTTTCTGATGCAGAACTCTACACTGACTTGAGGCAGATTTCTTGTTTTCATTATTGAAGAGTACTCCATAATGCCACAGAACACTGACTTCTTCATTCAGCTACTAGTGGACTATGTGGTACCAACTGCCAGACTAAGGTAGAGGTTTTCTGGCAGTCACCAGATTTTATAACTTTTCCCTAGATTTAACCCTTTGACTATTTCGGTCGTATATATACGTCTTACGAGCCACCGTGTTTGATGTATATTTACTCAAAAATTCTAGCAGCTTCAAATCAAGCAGGAGAAAGCTGATAGGCCCACATGTGAGAGAATGGGTCTGTGTGGTCAGTGTGCACCATACAAAAAAATTCTGCAGCACACAGTGCATAATGAGAAAAAAAAGCTCAGAATGTTTTTTGGATTAAAACGTTGCTTTGTGGTGTATTTTCGTATGGTATTTATGACTGTATTCTCGTTTTCTTGGTCTCATTTGATAGAATGGAAAACATATTAGAGATTTTGATTGGTTTTAATATGAAAAGAACCATGAAATAGAGCTCAAAGTAGGGGAAATGTTTGATTTTTGCCGATCTTCAAAAGTAAACAAATGATGCCATTGTCCAATAAATGTCCAACTAGCCATTCTAATATGCAGTCATGAATGGGTTGACATTATTTATACAATTATTACAATATTGCAGTAGTCTGCATTACAGTAAATCTTTTATTTTTTGTTTGAATAAAAATTCAAAATAGAAAGCAAGAGTAATATCAGAGGGGCCTGGAGACCTGCTGATGAACAAAGAAAATGTTATTTTAGAGCCAGGCATGTCTGCATTGTCCATTCTGGGCCCTATTTTGAAATTGGCGTATTTTTTTAATTTGTGTGAAATTGGCCAAATTGCAAATTTCTGACCACTTTATTGGGTAGTTGAAATCGGTAAATGGGCAGTTTCTTGTACTCAATCAATAGAACAAATGGAGTTCTAAAGAAATAGCTATGAGTTTGGTTGACTGGAACAATGGAATTAGCCGAAATAATCTCAAAGTGGGCGAAATTGCCGATTCGTAAATATCGCTGAGGTCGCTAATTTCATGGGAACGTAATTCCCTAAGTTTTCCATCAAATTTCATTTTTTTTGGTGTCATTACCATCGGGAAAAGATTCTCTATCATTTCATGGGATTTTTTTTTTTTTTTTTTTAAATTTCGACACCAGAAGACACCTGAGGATTTGGGGTTTCGACAGTCAAGGGGTTAACTAGACTGCCAGATAATGTTGGATACTGGATAATCAATGATTCACTGTACCACACACTGAACAATTAAAATACTAATAAAGATGTAAGTATTATATAAATAATTCAACCCTCTGGAAAAAACAGTACAGCACAATATTATACCTACTGGTAATGTGCAGTAATAAATATGGAAGCAATATTAGATTGTGGCAACCTGATTCAATAGGTTTTAATTCCACAAGTTCTCCCCTTCATATTAACCCTTTGACTGTCGCGGCCGTATATATACGTTTACGAGGTACCGTGTTTGACGTATATATACTCATAAATTCTAGCGGCTTCAAATCAGGCAGGAGAAAGCTGGTAGGCCCACACGTGAGAGAATGGGTCTGTGTGGTCAGTGTGCACCACATAAAAAAAATCCTGGAGCACGCAGTGCATAATGAGAAAAAAAAAACTCTGACCATTTTTTTTAATTAAAATGCCGAATTTGTGGTCTATTTTCGTATAGTATTTGTGGTTGTATTCTCGTTTTCATGGTCTCATTTGATAGAATGGAAACTATATTATAGAAATAGAGGTAAATTTTGATTAATTTTACTATAAAAAGAACCTGGAAATGGAGCACAAAGTACGGGAAATGTTTGATTTTTGCCGATGTTCAAAAGTAAACAAATGATGTCATTGTCCAATAAATGTCCAAATAGCCATTCTAATACGCAGTCATGAATGGGTTGATGTAATTTTTACAATTATTACAGTATTGCAGTAGTCTGCATAACAGTAAATCTTCTATTTTTTGTTTGAATAAAATTTCAAAATAAAAAGCAAGAGTAATATCACAGGGGCCTGGAGACATGACTGATGAACAAAGAAAATGTTATTTTAGAGCCAGGCATGTCTGCATTGTTCATTCTGGTCCTTATTTTGAAATTGTCATATTTTTTAATTTTCGTGAAATTGGCCAAATTGCAAATTTCTGACTATGTTATTGGGTAGTTGAAATCGGTAAATGGGCAGTTTCTTGTACTCAATCGATGGAAAAAATGGAGTTCTGAAAAATAGCTATGAGTTTGGTTGACTGGAATAATGGAATTAGCCGAAAATAGGGCTCAAAGTGGGCGAAATCGCCGATTTGTAAATATCGCCGAGCTAACTTCGCAAGAGCGTAATTCCGTCAGTTTTCCATCAAATTTCATTTTTTTGGTGTCTTTACAATCGGGAAAAGATTCTCTATCATTTCATAAGAAAAAATCATTTTTTTTTTTTGAAATTTTGCGGCACCAGGAGACACCTCAGGATTGGGGGTTGCGACAGTCAAAGGGTTAAAGTACAGCCACTCCTCACTGAGTGACGTACTCATTTACTGACGACTCAGACTTACGACGGGTTCTCTGACCAGTTTGCACACCTAAATAATGTATATTTGAGCTGATTTCCTCTATTCTGTTTATTACAATATACGTACAGTACACTACTGTATAAACATTTAAAAACATACCAGAAATGTTATAAATGGTGCAAAGGTGACATTAAAACAGTATCAGAGATGGTTGACACATACTCACTACCATTATAGTATGCTTCTCACTTAGTGACAAATTCATTTACCAACATGGTCAAAGGAACGGAACTCCATCGTTAAGTAAGGAGAGACTATTATATTCATATTTTATGCTAATTTTTTAGATTTTCTATACTCCTTTTCAAGGTGTGCCAGAGTATCAACTTCGGTCTAGAATCCAGTATCAGAATCAGCAAAAATCTTGGAATCATTCCATCACTACTCTTTTATATGTTTTACAATATAACAAGTAGCCACCACAGGAGTTGGAAGGTTCCCTATCATGTACATTTAAAGGGCAAAACATGATCTTACATGATTGTGAACAGTACTATAAATAAACTTAAAGTAATATATTGTATATTCTATCCACAGGTGATTGAAGACGAGACATTTGCTGGACTGAGCAATCTTCGTAACCTCAGTATAGCTCACAATGCATTACTTTCTCTACCGAAATACTTACCAGCAAAACTCCAAGTTCTTGATACAGAATACAACCAGATAACTGAAGTTCAAAATTTATCTCTCAGTATCTGACTTCTCTCAACCTGTGCTACAATGCTATCTCCTACATAGAACCAAATCAGGTATGATACGTCTTAACCATGATTGATAAATAAACCAATAAAGAATATCATTCTATCTAATTTTATCTCTCGCTCATAGATGAATTGAAAATGAGCCAGTATATTCACAATAAAACTAATACTAAAAGTTATGCTGGAATATAACACACAAAGGAACACCGAGAAAATGAATAAAGTAAAAAGTTGTATTCATAAACCTTAATAAAGTTTATGAAAGTGACAGAGCAGATTGTGCTGCATTATTATTCTCATTATTATATTTATTCTAGGTAGTAGGTTGGTAGACAGCAACCGCCCAGGGAGGTACTACCGTCCTGCCAACTGAGTGTAAAACGAAAGCCTGTAATTGTTTTACATGATGGTAGGATTGCTGGTGTCCTTTTTTCTGTCTCATAAACATGCAAGATTTCAGGTATGTCTTGCAACTTCTACTTACACTTAGGTCACACTACACATACATGTACAAGCACATATATACACACCCCTCTGGGTTTTCTTCTATTTTGTTTCTAGTTCTTATTCTTGTTTATTTCCTCTTATCTCCATGGGGAAGTGGAACAGAATTCTTCCTCCGTAAGCCATGCGTGTTGTAAGAGGCGACTAAAATGCCGGGAGCAAGGGGCTAGTAACCTCTTCTCCTGTATATATTACTAAATGTAAAAAGAGAAACTTTCGTTTTTCCTTTTGGGCCACCCCGCCTCAGTGGGATACGGCCGGTGTGTTGAAAGAAAGATTTATTTAAAGGGGAGGCTAGACCTACATGGTTCATTTTTGGGATGTAAAAACAAGGAGGGGTGGGTAGTG